CATAGTTCTCTTTAGTTATTGTACAGGGTGTCCATAAAATTCTTGTACAATTTAAAATAGGTGTCGTAGATGACCTTTATGACACGCTACATATTACCCTTTCACCTCCCCATATCTCATGCGTCTTGGTAAAGAAAAATCTACAGTTTACTGTCTCCTCTTCTCTCACATTCATTCCTCAATCCCTGCACTCCAGCATCTACCCTGGTACTCAACATTACAGGCATTCATTTGTTGAATAAAAATAGCATATGATAGCTAACATGTATATAGTTCTTGCCTTTTGCCAGATACTAGAATACTTGTTTTGCTTTAGTAACTTACTTACAGATACACACTAAGATAGATACTATTATTATCCTCATTTTAGAGACAGGCAACTGAAGTACAGAGAGGTTAAGCATCTGGACCAGGATCACAGATAATCAGTAGTGCAATGGGGTTTGAACTCCAGGCAGTTTGGCTTCAGGATCCATGCATTATGAATGACTGAACAAATCTCGATCCCTTTTATCCATATCAGCACACAAATGCGTTTGTACTAAAGATCATTACTTAAGAAGGCATACATTTTTTCTAATTATAATGGATTTTCCCTCACTCATTTGGAAACCTTTGAACACTTTTATGTCCAGTATTAATCTAGCTCTTGGATTATAGAAATAAAAGTCAGTCCCTACTGTCAAGAAACTCAGAGCCTGATAGGAGACGATATAGAGGAAAATAGACAATTATAATATGATGTGATGAGTGCTATGGTGGGACAGGCCTAGAGGAGGAACGTTGAACCCAGCCAGAAAAGGGTAACCCATAATCTGGAGTATGATGGAAAAGGGGATTTCGTCAAGCCTCTTTGGCTTGGATAGAAGGCTATTTGTCCTTCTTTTTTTTTTTTTTGAGACAGAGCCTCAGGCTGTCCCCCTGGGTAGAGTGCTGTGGCATCACTCACAGCAACCTCCAACTCCTGGGCTCAAGCGAGTCTCCTGCCTCTGCCTCCCAAGTAGCTGGGACCACAGGCGCCCGCCACAACGCCTGGCTATTTTTTTGGTTGCAGCCGTCATTGTTGTTTGGCGGGCCGGGCTGGATTTGAACCTGCCACCTTAGGTGTATGTGGCTGGTGCCTTAGCCACTTGAGCCACAGGCGCCGAGCCTGTCCTTCTTTTTGGTTTTCTTCGTGTGTAGAATGGGATACAGTTGTTTTTTCAGAACTTTAAGTTACCCTTTTGCATTTTTCTTTCCCTTTGTTACGTTCTGGTTGCTAGCATTCTCTGTACTCTGGTCTCCAATGTCCTCTTCATTCTTATTTTTTTCACTCTTAGTTTATTTCTTTAATCCTATCTAGAAACCCTGTCTTACCTAATAGAGTAGGAACTTTAATTTACTTTTATTCAGTCTCATTCTTCCTCTTTAGCAGGTAGGTCACTAAATATTTATTTAAAATACTCATGCTTTTTGGTTTCTGTAACAAGGAAGATAGAGTTGAGTTACACTTTTGAGGTCACTAGGATATTAATTTCATTTTTGTTCTTCCTGAGCATCAAGGTGAATTACAACCCTCTGTTGCCCCTAATTATTTCTTTGGCGTGTTGCTTTACACGTGTCTCACTTTTTTGTTTTTGGCTCTGGTTTCCAACATTTACTAGATATTGGCATCTGGTGCACAGAGTGGTATCTGCTAAATGCCAAATATAGCCTTCTCTGAAAAACATGGTAGGAAGAATTATAAGGAAAGGTAGGATTTGACTTGGGATTCAAAACAAGATTGACTTCTATCCATCCATTACTTACTAGCAGAGAACTTTGGGTAAGTTTTTGACTTCTCTATGCCTCAATTTTCTCATTTTAAAAGTGGGTAAACTAGTAGTGATTGCCAGTTAGGTTGTTTAGAGGATTAAATGAGTTAATACTTAAAAACTTAAATCTGTGTCTGAAATATAGATTTAAAAAGAAGACACTTGATAAAAGTCTGAGATTCTTATCCTTTTTGGCTGGGTTCTATTTTCCTACCCTGATAATTGGCCACTGGTTTGTTGTCGCCTCTTCCTTATACGTTCATCAAGGATTTGATTTTGCTTCAAATTGTGCTTATTTTCTTCCCTTTTCATGTGTTCGCCTTCCATATCTAGGTTTTCACGGTTCTTGATAGACTTTTTTCCTGGTGGAAAATAACTTGGCAGATTGTCAGAAAGATAATACATTGTTACCAACGACGATTTTATGGCTCATTAGTAGGGTTTGTAATAATAAAATAGGTTTTGTTTCAAATGCAATAGAGATTATTCAAAAGATAAACATTCTTTCTTTTTGCTTATCATCATTATGCATACTTACTATAATAAGTTTAGAATATTTCAGAAATATAAAACTCAGAAGTAAAAGATGTGTTCCCTAAATATTTCTTTAGTGCTTACTATGTGATAAGGTACTATTAGGTACTCAAACAAAGTTGCTATTAGTAGTTTGGTATATTTTCTAATATATAGATTTATCCCATTTTTAAAAACTCCCTGATAGTATTCTCTTGAATATAATTTAGTTAATAAAACTTATTTTGATGGCTTCCTGATTGTTCAGTTTTTAATTATTACAAGTAGTGATAATTACTAATTATTACAAGTAGTGTAATACTTGTAATAATTGAGGACCATTGAGAGTCCTCTTACATATATCCCTTTGGAGTATGTGTTTCTAGAATACAGTTTAGAAGTGCAGGGTACACTTTTTAAATAGTATAACATTCATTGGATATCATAAAATGGTATATTAATTTAGATCACCAGTATATTAATTTAGAATCTTAATAAATTAAAAAATTGCTTTTATTTAAATTCTACCTTCTTGTCTATTTCCCTGTACTTTTAGGAAAAGTATATATTTTTAATCTTTATACTCTCTCTCAATATAATTGATGAATATGTTTCATTGTTTGAATTTATATTTATACTTGATCTTAGCCAAAAACGAGAAGTGATTAATTTACATTTAAAAATTATTAATGAAATGTGGCTCTCTTTAATATTCTTATTGGTCATATTTTGTATATTGTGCTTGGTACTGTGTTCATGTCCTTGGCCCAATTATATAGTAGATTATTATTTATTTCATTGTTTGGTAAAACTGTGACATATTACTAAAAATAGCTCTTTGTCAAATATTAAAAAGTTTTTTAGCTTGTTTATATATATGTATATATATATACACACACTGTCTACACCTTACTTTATAGACTTTTAAATTTATAGTCATATTTCTTAATCATTTTAATGGCATCTTAGTTTTATTTTCATGCTTAGGAGTTCCTTTCCCCTCAAAAGTAATAAGAACCTGAAATATTTTCTGTATCAGGATTTTTTCCTGATATTCATTCATCCATTCATCCATTTTTTTTTTTTTTAGACTCTATTCTATGATATCTTCATAGCTCATTATACTCTCAAACTCCTGGGTTCAAGCTGTCCTCCTATTTCAGCTTCCTGAATAGGTTGGACTACAGATGTGTGCCACCACACACAACTAATTTAAAAAACCTTTTTTTTTAATAGAGACAGAATCTTGCTATGTTGCTCAGGCTTGTCTTGAACTCCTGTGCCTGAGGCAATTCTCCTGCCTTGGCCTCCCAAAATATTAGGATAAAGATGTGAGCCACTGTGCCTGGCTTTTTTCCTGATTTTTGTAATAATCAATTTTTGTGATATCCAATGAATGTTTATTCCCTTTTCATTGTGTTTCTAGATTTTGGTCTTTGATTTAGTATGTACAACTTCATCAAATATTTTGGAACCTTGGCATATTATACAGAGTTGAGTATAAGATGGGACTGTCTTGGATTTGAATACCTATCTATAATATAAGTACTTAACTGTTAGCCCCTGTTTGCCTGAGAAAATCTATTTTTAACCTGTTTTCCAGTGTAATTTTTAATGGTCCCCTTTCACTTTCAAAAGTGTCTCAGTTTAAAGAAAAAATTAAAGAGTTAGTTGTAAATGACAGTTGTTTACATGGGACAGTTTCTTAGTATATTGTTGGTAAAGTTTCATTTGTTTCTGTTTGCGTTATTCAGTTGTTTCTGTTTATATTATTCCTCTAATACTTAGTATTCATAATACTTTATTTGCTTTAATTAAAAAATATCATTTCTATTATTTTCATGATGAACTTGTTATAGACTTCACAGAGTTGCTTATCTGAGGTATTTCCAGAGTAGATATCTAGTGCGTACCTCTTTGTATTCATTCCACTTTCCAGAATGACATTCACTTTTTGAGTAAAATGCCCCTCAAATTCTTATTTATTTGGTATGGCTCTAAAGGTGATGAAGAATTTGTGTATGTGTACATGTTTTAGTTGTATTTTACTAAATATATGATCAATTTTTTTTGTATGGCTTTCTCCAGATCATTTAACCTAGCCCCCAAAACCTTCATTACATTAATGTTTTTGGTGTTGTGTATGTATATCCCTGGATATGAATTAGTTTTACTTGGATCATTGGATTTTGTAGTTTTCTAATACTGTCCTTAATATAGATCCCTGTGGGAGCCACTTAATGCCAATTGCTATTGTACTGTAACAGGCACTAACAAAACTTTGGTACTTGTTTTCTGCCAAATAGTTTTTTTTGCTAGCTTATAAAATAATATTTGAGCATACTAGTCTGGTGAGTAGAACATCATATAGGAATTTTCATTTATGTTACCATTAGCTTTGAAATGTTGGTCTTTTTAAATAAAACTATTTATTTTTAGGTATTTTCAATTTCACGGTGGGTAAGTTGTAAATCAAAATTTTCATAAAACGTTTGCTTTGAAAATATTTATCTATGCACTAGAGAAAAATTACATCAATGAAGTTTTTACTGTTATTTTTTGCAGTGAGATAGTAAGATAAGAAGTATTGTTTGTTTTGTTACATACTATCAAACTTCTTGTTTTATAGTATACATATATATATTACTATAATACATAATATAATGTTTGTTGGTTTTGTTCTTGTGTCTGCAGAGAGTGATAATGAACTCTCAAGTGGAACAGGTGATGTGTCTAAGGATTGTCCTGAGAAGATCCTATATTCTTGGGGAGAATTGCTGGGAAGATGGTAAAATTTTTTTTTTCTTATGGAAAATTTTGCATTAACATTGTTGATGTTTGTTTTATCAGATATAATCTATGTATTAAAATATATTGTATATATAAAATGTAGATTAATATTATAATCTATCTTAATATTAATATCTTAATGTGCTTTAAAAACATAAAGACTAAAATATAATTCATAGATATACTTGATGATTGGCTAGATCTTCCCCCCCCCCAACTTACTTTTGAAAGATAAAAATTTGTTTTCTTATTTCACTAAGATATAATATTGTTCTGGGTGGCCAGTTTTATGCTATATTGTCAACATATTTAAATGTCTATTATTGGGGTTACATTTTTTTCTTTACCAAGTCTGTTACCACTAAAAGGGTCTATATGATATAGAATTACTCATTTCACCACTGATTGTAAATTAAATCAGCTTGTTTTATTTATACTGACTACAACTATTACTTTACATTTTGGGGTACTATATATGGAATTACAATAAAAGTTATTCTGTTTATACTTATAATAATTACTCTGTTTGTATTTATGATAAGTAAATTATTTTTTTCATTGTTGGGGATTCATTGAGAGTACAAAGAACCGGGTTACATTGATTGCATGTGTTAGTAAAGTCCCTCTTATAATTGTGTGCTGTCCACAAAAGGTGTGTCACACACAGTGACCCCCTCAATCTCTCTCCTTTCTTTCCTCTATCTGCTCTTGCCTTCCTCCACCCCTCACTGTGTACTAGGTCATTAATTGTCCTCATATTAGAATTGAATACATAGGATTCTTGCTTCTCCATGCTTGTGCTACTTTACTAAGAATAATGCATTCCATTTCCATCCAGGTCAATACAAAAGATGTAAAGTCTCCATCTTTTTTAATGGCTAAATAGTATTCCATGGTATACATATACCATGGCTTATTAATCCATTCCTGGGTTGGTGGGCATTTTGGGTGGGTGAGCCACCGCACAAGCCTAGAAGATGTATTCTTAATCAAAGTTCTCTCAATGAGCAAACTGTGAAGAAAACAGTTTCTGCTTTCTGCTTGGAGGAAACCTGGAAGATTAAAATTACTAAGCATGAACATACATAGTTTTCTCCCTTTTCACTTTAATGCTCCATTTTTTTTAAATGGAGGAAAAATCCAGAAAAAATATAAGCAAACGAAGACAAAAATATGTACTGTTCATCTTCATAATGACCTTTAACCTATCCTTTTTCTTGAAACTTTTCTTAATGGTTGTATATCATCTGTGTATTTTGTTTGCCTCGTTATTGTGGATGGAGAAATCTGCAACCTTTCTTGATGCAACCCCATCTTTTAATTTCAGATGTAGTTCTTTTTCTGAGAAAACCTTTACAAATAGGTCAGGCTGCTGTTCTCATGCTCTCATGTCTAATAGCCATTTAATTCTATGTACCTCATCTCTATCAAAATTGCCCTAATTCCATTGCTAACTTCTCAGTCATCATAATCACAGACTTTTCTTCTCATCTCTTGATTTGCAACTGTTTTGTTAGAAATGACACCTTCTTTTTGAAATTCTCTCCTTCAGTTTTAAAGATAGAAAGAGTCCTTACATGCCTAGTTTCAAGAAAATCTTTTTTGAAGGCAAAGGAAATTACCTAGATGAACACATGACAGTTTTTTTGATCCTGTTAAAATCAATGAGAATGTTTGCTTCTATAAAAGTATTTTCTTGGTTTCACTTTAGTATGAATAATTGACATATCTCATTTCATAGATACATTCATTTATCAAAAATGTATTGAGCACTTCTGTGTGCCAGCCACTGTTTTAGATACTTGGGATTTATAAGTAGAGAAGATACTAAAAACTAGTGGATTACTGTATGATCAATGTATATTTGTTTTATGTTGACTTTTTATTTTTTTTAAGTGATAAAGCGATAGTTTATTAGAGGATAGAACAGAAAAGCTTTCAATACAGTGGAAGGGATTCCAAACAAGTTGCCCAATGTTGACTTTTTAAATAATTGTATTAGGTATCTATCTTGTTTCTAGAGCAGAATTCTGCATGTGTTATAGCTACATGACTATTTTCAAGTTCCTGATAGCGGCAATTAATGTCACATAAAACCAGTAGCCATATGTAGTTATATTTTTATCAGAAATATTGAAAGCAATGATTATTCTTATAAATTGATTTTTTATTTATGTGAGTATTCCCTGGTCATAGATATATACCAGCAACATTTGGCTTACTATTTATTAATGTTTCTTAAGTAGTAGGGTGCCAGTATAATTGCTATACTGTTACCAATATTACTAGTAAATTAAGGCTGTTAAAGCAGTGTTTGAGTGAACCAGTTCTTCTTAAATGCCATTATGTAAAGATAAATTAAATAGTGCCTAGGTTTGTAAGAGAGGAGAAAAGAAATTTTCATTATACCTGGCAAACAAGTGGCTAATTGAAGGTCATTACATTCAATTAAGTTGAATGTTATGTTCATTGGGGACCATTTGCTATAAACCTTAAGGAGTGTGTGTATGTATGCATGTATGTGTATGTGGAAAGAGATATTCCAACTTTAAAATTTATTAAATTATTTTACAAAATAATCAGAGCCAATAGAATATGTAATCAAGCTGTTTGTTCTCTTTATTCTGCCTGCAATGTTAAAAATATGTTGTAGTGGGATGAGCAGATATTAGGAGGCTACTGCAAAGGTCTAGGGTGGATAAAATTTGAGGCAGTTGATATAGAGAGAAGTACAAGGAGTTTGGAAAGGTTGGGAAAATATTGATAAGCTCCATTAGACTTAGTTATGGATTAGTAATGGGTTATGGGACAGAGAGTAATGTCAAAAATAATTCCTAAATTTCTAGTGTGGATAGATTGTGGTAGCAATCACTAAGATGAAATGTCCTGGAAAAAAATCAGGGTTCAGACCTGGACCTCCCTTTAGGGAGAAGAATATGAGTTCAGACCTGGACTTGTTTGTCAGTTTTTAATTTTTTTGGAAGACAGTGTCACACTCAGTTGCCCCAGGCTAGATTGCTGTGCCTTCAGCCTAGCTCAAAACAACCAAACTCCTGGGTTCAAGCAATCCTCCTGCCTGGGACTACAGGTCCCAAGGTGGGGATACTGGTGTCCACCACAACCCCTGCTAATTTTTCTATTTTTAGTAGAGACTGGGGTTAAGGGGAGACTCATTTTGCTCAGGCTAGTATCAAACTCCTGAGCTCAAGCGATCCTCCCACATTGGCCTCAAAGAGTGCTAGGGTTATAGGCTTGAACCACTGTGTCCAATGGACTTGTTGATTTTGATGCACCTTTGAGGCTCTGGAGCTCAAAATATGTGCAAATAGTTGATATTGCTCATAGACAAAAGAGTAAAAAAATTGGGTTACTGAGGGCAAGAGTATAGAAAGAGAACTCCGAACACTTAAGAGGTTAAGAGAGGAGAAGAAATCAATGATAGATTTTGTAAAGGTGGATAGAAAGGTAATGCTTTATTCTGAATTCAGGGAAACAAAGTAGTTAACACTGAAAAGACTGAAAATGTCTCTTCAATCTAGTGGCTTAAAGAGAGGTCATAAATCAGTCATGGGAACACAGTCCAAGGAGAGTTACAGAACCCATACTGAACAAAATTGAGGAATGAGTGGGAGGGAAAGAAATAGAGATATTAAGAGATGGTGATTATACAACTCTTAAGAATTTTGATGTGCAGGATAAGAGACGGTATGTTAGAGAGTTATTATATTTTTCTGTGTATAATGTACTCTCATGTGTGATGTATACCCATGTTTATTACTCAAACTTTAAGGAAAATGTCCCTTGAAAAAGATGTTGACTCTCAATTGGGAGAGACACGTCTGGGAAGGGCTCATGCTCACCTGGTAAATGTGCAGATCACACTGTCCTCCTGTAGCCACTCACTCTGTGAAGTGAGTGAGCCACCCTTCCCTCTCTCCCAGAACTCCTTTTCTATCCACCACATTGGGGGCCACTGCCAAGATGGCCATACATGTGGCTGGCAGCTTCTGAGGCCAGTAGGCTCCTGGACAGCCAGGTAGGTCCCTGGGCTTGCATGAGGCTTCTGCTTACCTCCGTGTGGCTGGGCCTCGAGGCTCAGCTCTCACCCCACACAGCGGTGGCCTGCCTTGCCAGCCCTGCCACTGTGCCCTCACCTGAGTATAGATACTCAGCCAAGGCTGCCCTACCTGTTCTCACCAGATCCCTGATCCTCCTGGACTGGAATGCTGTGCACCCATCAGGTCCCTGAGGAAGGGTACTGTCGCCCTGGGCAAGCCCTGGGGTCCTCTGCTCCTGAGCCATGATACCCATGTATGATGTGCATCCTCTGTTTCCCCTCAAGAATTTGGGCAAAAAATTATATATTATACATGGCAAAATGTAATATGTGGGGTTGAATATAGGTTTCTTTAACAGAGAGTTTTAATTTAGTTTAATTTATTGGAGTTTTAATGGTTATAGATATGTAATGATGGCTTACTGATTTCTATGTGTATATGACATGTGGCATATACTTTAATTACTTTGAATTTTCCTTATATAATATATTGTACATAGTGGGATTCATAATCCAGAGTAGTTTGCATTTAATTTTAGAGGAAATTAGTTTAGTTCTTTGCACACTGTTGCTTTTAATTAACTCAGTTTTCTATATTAAAAGTACAGAAATTTAGCTACCTTTCAGCCATATATGTTTTTCCTATTTAAAAGTATAATCAGAGTGAAACATTGAAACATTAAATTACAAAAAAGACCCTTTCATGACTGATCCTGATTCTTTTGTGGCATAGTATTCTTTGGCAATCTCAAACTCAACAGGTAAATGAAGAAGAGGCAGGTGGAAGGAAGTTCCAGGCATCAAATAGTTTACCCAGGTGATAGTCTTCTCGAGAATAATTAATACGCTATTTCTACTTGACAGATTTTGTTTAATGTAATTATCTATAGTGTTTTTCCAAATTAACTAAAATTATATTTTAATTTAACTCCATGAGATAAATTTAAAGAATTGAAATGAATTTTTTTCTGTTTTATGGTTATAGAAGTATTTAAGATCTTTGTAAATATTTCAGACAACATAGGAAAATAAAAGAGATTTTCCCTCTTAATTCTATTACGTAAGTACAATGGAATATATTCATCCATGTTCTTTTTCTGTGAATATTTAAAAGCAAGTTTCAAGGGCTGGGCATGGTGGCTCATGTCTGTAATCCTAACACTCTGGGAGGCTGAGGCAGGTGGATTGCTCGAGCTCAGGAGTTTGAGACCAGTCTGAGCAAGAGTGGACCCTGTCTCTAAAAAAAACTATCCAGGCATTGTGGACTGTGCTTATAGTTCCAACTACTTGGGAGGCTGAGGCAAGGAGGATCACTTGAGCCCAAGACTTTGACATTGCTATAAGCTATGATGCCAGGGCACTCTACCCAGGGGAACAGAACAAGGCACTGTCTCAGAAAAAATAAGATAAAATAAAAGCAAGTTTCAAAATAGTGTGTATATGTGTATATTTAAAACAACACATATACTATTTTGAAACCTGCTTTTGTCTCTTAACATGACTGTTAATAGGTTCTTTAACAATATGATAGCGGGTTGAATCATATAAACTCTACCCTGTCTGCTTCTTTGCTTCAAGCCCATGAGTACTATCAACTTAGACTCTCTACCCAACAACATAGAAGTTTAGTCAGAAGAGGCTGAAAGAAAGCAGAATGTGTACAAACCTAAGTCTAGTGTACTAGGTCAAACCAGATTATACTGTCAAGGTTTGGAGTTCAGATGGTTGTAACAGGGTGGGCTCTCAGAGATCAAAAGTGAGAAGCAAATTCAAATAGAAAGTCTGAGCAAAAAGACACAGACTCCTAACTCCAGATTTAAGGTAGGTACTAGGAAAAAGATGAGGAATGGAATTACATTCACAAGTTTGAGAATTGCAATTCAGTTTCTTTGTTAGATGGGCATAGTAGCATACCTACTCTGTGATCACTTTGTTCTGATTCTAAACACCCTTGGGAATGGGTAAGGAAGGCTGATAAGTTGCTTAACTTAGCAGGGTGCAGTTATATGTGTTCTGGTGATTGCAGGAAAGGGCTAGTTTTTTCCTTTAAGGATTTGAAGTTGTAAAAAAGTCAGGGAGACAAAACCAGAGTTGCAAATACATATGGAATTCTTCTTACTATAAAACCTATTTTAGATAATTTTAATATGGAATGTCCTTGATACTTAAATTTATGCTGGAACAGAGAATTCTAAGTTAGGTCATCAAGAGGTAGGGCTTCCCAGGAGACCTTTGGGTCAGGATGTAACTGTCACAAAAAACTGAAGTATCTGGCTTTCATGCCTCCTTTACTGTGGAACCTGCTTTTGGCACTTGGCCCAGACAGCATGACCTCGAAGAAGAGGATATAGTCAAGTTGTGATAGGCCTATGATCCATTTTCAGCATCCATTCTTGAACACCATTTCCTCCCACATACCTCATTCATTATCCAACTTGCTATACATTTATTTCAGGAGATTCAGATGGTTCCTTTTATGCCTTGAAATGTTGCCTATATGTATGTAATTTAAAACATTAACTATTATGAAAAAGTTCATAGGATGATTAAAATAAATGACAGGAAGGAAACACTTCTTCGACTAGGGAATAACGTGGCTCCCTAGTAAAGAAGATGAGATCAAGAAAAAAGTCAAAGAGATCATTGAGCTTCTGCACTACTGCTGTTTTATACCAGGCTTATGATTTTATATAAAGTAATAAATATGCTTTTCACTGCAACAGAGTGGTAAAGGGATTATTAATGATTTATTTTCTTGTTTTTTCAGGCATAGTAACCTTGGTGCACGACCGAAAGGGCTATCTACCTTGGTGAAGAGTGGTGTTCCTGAAGCATTAAGGGCAGAGGTATGGCAGTTATTGGCAGGCTGTCATGACAACCAGGCAATGCTGGATAGATACAGAATTCTTATCACAAAGGTAGGAAACTCTTTTCATATTATTTTCATGGGACAGTATATTGAATAAATCCTATTTTCCATAGCTCCCATAAATCATAATGCTTTGAAATTTATTTTAAAATGTATTGTCAAAGATAAATTCAAGCAGATCTTCCTGGGTGGTGTGGACATGAGGACCCAGTTTTGGCGCTACTTTCTGGACCCCACTAGGGCCACATCCTTGAGTTTTGTGTACCCTCTTGATTTTGCTCATACCCGTCTAGCAGCTAATGTGGGTAAAGCTGGAGTGGAAAGGGAATTCAGAGGCCTTGGTGACTGCCTGGTTAAGATCTACAAATCTGATGGGCTTAGGGGCCTGTACCAAGGCTTTAACGTGTCTGTCTGGGGTATTATCATCTGCCGAGCCGCCTACCTTGGCATCTATGACACCGCCAAGGGAATGCTTCCAGATCCCAAGAATACTCACATCATTATCAGTTGGATGATTGCACAGTCTGTCACTGCCCTTGATGGGTTGACTTTCTATCCCTTTGACACTGTTTGCCGTCGCATTATGATGCAGTCAGTGTGCAAAGAACTGGACTTTGCAGTTCTTTGGACTGGACACAGTCTGTCACTGCCCTTGCTAGGTTGACTTCCTATCCCTTTGACACTGTTGGCCAATGCAGTCAGGGTGCAGTAGACATCATGTATACTGGCACAATTGACTGCTGGACGAAGATCCTTCATGATGAAGGAGGCAAAGCTTTTTCCAAGGATGCATAGTCCAGTGTTCGCAGAAGGATGGGTGGTGCATTTGTGCTTGTCTTATATGATGAAATCAAGAAGTACACACAAGTTATTTCCTGGTTTCCCCCTGTGAACAGGCATATCGTATTATATAACATATCTCGAACATTCTTGACAGGCACATGGCTGTCTATTTATCAGTGGTAACTATTTACTGGTTGAAAATGGGAAGCAATAATATTCATGTGACCAGTTTTGTCTTAAAGCCATTTCCATGATGATGATGGGACTCAATTATATTTTTTATTTCAGTTGCTCCTGATGAATATCAAATTTGGAAAAATAAAAATGTCTAAAAAAAAAAATTCTCACTGTGTCCCCCTTAGTAGAGTGCAGGATGTCATAGCTCACAGCAACCTCCAACTCTTGGGCTTAAGCAATTCTTTTGCCTCAGCTTCCCCAAGTATCTGGGACTACAGGCGCCTGCCACAACACCTGGCTATATTGTTGTTGCAATTGTCACTGTTCGTGGCCTGGGCTGGGCTCAAACCCGCCAACCCTGGTGCATGTGGCTGGTGCTATAACTGCTGTGCTATAGGCACTGAACCTTGGTTTTCATTTGAGTGATTTTATAACTACTTACCAAATTGGAATATACTTATATTTCAAGTGTTTTCTAACTTTTTATTGCATAAGATTTATCTAGTTCTACTCATACACAATAACTCTAGTATATTTGTTAAATGAAATTAAAAGACCTTCTATGCTGTGTCACCATACATTTAAGTGATGTGGATTGTTGCCCATATCCTTATTGTGACAGAAGCTCTTGGCTCTACTATAAATTCCTTTGGTTATTTCCAACAAGCTGGTTTTAGAACATATTTGTAAAATCTCCCAATTTCATAATCTATTTTAAATCATGCATTTCTAAATAATAGTAAAATAATAACATTTTGTTTTTAAAAGTCTCTGTTCATAAATGAGATTTTTTAATAACCAGAGTCTTACTTCTCTGACTTTTAAAATTTTATTCCCTGTAATTCATTTTTCCTTTATTTGTATCTTTGCCTCCTTCCCTTCCACAAACATTTTCCGAGTGCCTAGTATATTCAGTCACTGATTAATTCAGTGTGGTTTTTTTTTTTTTTAAACTTTTACTTTTTTTTAACTGGTCTTTACCATGGGATATGCAATATAATTTATTGGTTTGCAGAGGAAAAATGTGTAAAAGGATGTTGAGGTCTACTGATATTTTCTGTGCCATGGTACTGAGGCCTCACTAGGGTCTGATGGTCATTTTTTACAAACGGTATAGGAGTGGCCTTAGGGAAGAGTGGAACTTGAACACCTTGGAGTGGAACAACTGTGGGGCTCACACCATATATTCACTTTAAAAATGTTAGAATTTTCTTGTAGGCTGCATGTGCTAGATTAAGTGAACTTATAGGTTATCTAGTTTTAATTTAATCCTCACAAAATAGGTGAGTCATTTAAAAAGTCTACTGTCACAGGATACTGCATGTCAAATTATTTATCTTTAAATGCACAATGTGTTCTTTCAAGGAAGAATTAATGTTAAAATAATGAATTACAAAACAACTACTTTTGGAAATAAATTTGTGTTATAAAGAAGGAAATTTTGAAACATTTGGCAATTTAAACCTCACTTTGTGTTTTGGTCACTGAAAACTATATGCATATCCTACTCTAAAAACTCTTATAAATTCACATGTAAAAACCTAGAGTCTGAAATTCTAAATATGTTTAAAACTTAATGTTGCAGAGAACTTGAAACTTATTGTTAAAAATATAAAAGTACAACACATTCTGATATATTAATAAGAATCCCCAGCTTGGTGCCTGTAGCTCAGCAGCTAAGGCAGTAGCTACATATACCAGAGCTGGCAGGTTCAAATCCAGCCTGAGCCTACCAAACAACAATGGTAGCTGGAACCAAAAAATAACTGGGCATTGTGGTGGGCGCCTGTAGTCCCAGCTACTTGGAAGGCTGAGGCAAGAGAATTGCTTAAGCCCGAGAGAGTTAAAGGTTGCTGTGGCCTCTAACACCACGGCACTCTGCTGAGGGTGACATAGTGAGACTCTGTCTCAAAAAAAACCTATAAGCTGGGTGTGGTGGTGCTTGCCTGTAGTTCCACAACTACTTGGGAGGCCTAGGTAAGAGTATTGCTTGAGGCCAGGTGTTTAAGGCTATATTGTACCTGTGAATAGGACTGTGCTCAAGCCTGTGCAATCTTGCCAAATACTGTTTGCTTAAAGAAAAAGAATACCTAGAGAAATTTGGTAATTTCCTAACCAGATTCAACAAAAAAATTGATTGTTTTAACCAAAAAAATGATGCAATTCTACATGGGGTTGTAGATTTTTGTAAGTCTTTTTTAGTTATGATAAATATGATAAAATTAAATGTATTACTCAAAAACTGATTTAGAAATAAGTTTTCATCTGCTGTTAAACACATTAAAAATAATGACCCATACTGTATGATTCTATTTACATAAAATGTTCAGAACAGGCAAAACTGTAAGGACAGAAAGTAGACTAATGGTTGCCAGGGAATGGGAGCAATAGGAATTGGAAGTGACTGCCAACAAATATGGGGTTTGTAGTTGGAGTGGTATGTTCTGAAATTAGATAACAGTGATAGTTGCTTAACACTATGAATATAATAAAAGATATTAACTTGTATACTTTAATGGTAAATTTTTCATTTTGTGTCATTTTTAGCAATAGGAAAATTATGCAAAATGAAATAACATGTATTCAATGTGGAATAGTATTTTTGTGAAGTAACGTTTCCATTTTATCTTTTTTATATATTTTAATCTAAGTTTTTATGTTTTGTAGTATCCATAATGTATTAGTACAAAATAAAAATAAATATACATTTATTGTAAATTTATGCACTGAAAACTTTTCGTAGGGCGTAACTCTGGATATCAGATAATTTTTTCATGTAAATAATGAAATAAATAACTTTTATTAACGGCTTATGGGGTAAGAGGTATGGCCATTACCCCTTTTTCCACTAAGAGGATTTATTGATTCATATCTTTAAAGATTTCAAACCTTTGGAAAAATATAACAAATACCATCCCACAATAGTACTTATGAACTCTTGATAATGTAGTATATGTTTACATAGTGATAAAAGTTTCATCATGTCTACCAAACACCATGGTGATTTCAAATACTTAACTTGCAGAAAAACTGTAAGATCTAGAGACAGACTGGCAAATATCATTTTCATTAAATAAAATATATAGAAAATATTCGGAGACTGTGGAATTACATTTCCTCGCTTCCTTTCCCTTTGGGATTCTGGCTGTGATTTACTTTCTGCTGGTGGAGATCACAGGGAGGCAAAAGCTACATTATCTTTCTTTCTTTTTTTTTTTTTTTTTGAGACAGTGCCTCAAGCTGTCCCCCTGGGCAGAGTGCCGTGGCATTACAGCTCACAGCAACCTCCAACTCCTGGGCTCAAGCGAGTCTCCTGCCTCTGCCTCCCAAGTAGCTGGGACCACAGGCGCCTGCCATAACGCCCGGCTATTTTTTGGTTGCAGCCATCATTGTTGTTTGGCGGGTCCGGGCTGGGGATTCGAACCCGCCACCTTAGGTGTACGTGGCTGGCGCCTTAGCCGGTTGAGCTATAGGCGCCGAGCCTACATTATCTTTCTTAAGCAGTGATGGGCAGATGCCTGGTCTTGGCCAGTTGTGAGGTTTTTGCATCTGTCCCTGGGCATTTCATTCTCAATCACTTGCCTCACTCTGTGGTTTCTTTTTCTTGCAGTTTTCTGACTTGAATTGCAACAGCAACCTTCCAATTCTCTAAACAATAGCTGTGGTGGCAAACCTAAAATCTAGCAGCAATTTCTCCAGCGTTTTGTCCTTCTAGCTTTTCTACTATTTAAGTACCTTCATTCCTGCATTAAATCTTTTTTAAAAATCCCTACAGCAGGTTCCTTTTGCTGACTGAACCCTATCTGATACACTTGACATGGGTTTAATCTCCCTTTTGTAACAAGATAGTGATTCTACATCCACCATTGTGTTCAGAAAAGAAGAAAGGAAAGACAAAGGCTGCTCAGATTAGCTAAACTTTAGGCTAAGGGCTAAGTCCTCCAGACTGCCTGCTTTGTCTAAGACTTTTGATATCAGCGGCAAGTTTGGGATCCTTAGGGGCCACCTTGACTTCAGACTAGCTGGCTACAAATTTGGGTGTCCCCACAGACTCCATCTGGTTTGATAATTTGCTAGAATGACTCATAG